CTGCCTCCTGCTCAGTCTGCTCTCCAGCTGTTACTCCTGCCCAGTGGTCCAGGGGAGAAGGGTGATGGTTTAGTGTCTGCCTGTGCATAGCCGTTAAGCATTGCTACCAACTTTAATGCCATTATTATATGGTGCTCTTCCAAGACTGGAGGGTTTTTATTCCCTCACATGCCCAGTCATAAGACATCAGTGCCACCCTGAATGGTAACTGGTGACATCTGACTGTAGGGGGGAAAAGCCTCAGAAAGAGGAAACTAGTAACAGGACCTGTTACTCTGGTTAGTTAGGTGGGAAATAAGTTGGTTAATTTGCAAGATACTAAGGAAAAGTTGGAAAATGAGCATTAAAGAACTAGGTCTTACCACGTTAAACTTCCCTGTTTGGCATCAGATCCTCTTTTGTGTCTTAAGATAGAAGGATCTTAGCAAAAGATCATTCTTTCTTAAATGTTTGCCTTTTTCCAAAAATAAATGAATTTATCTAAATCCATAGTTATAATTTTCTTTAAAAAGCCCCTCTTCCTCAAAGATTGTTTATAGAAGTGTCATTTCTGGATTCCCATTTAAAAGCTCTTCTTCCATGTGGCAGCACTTGCTACTGTGGACACTTTTTGCTCATGATTTTGTTCCTTGAAGGAACATCATACAGAATTGACCCCCTTTTTTTCAGTTGAGGGTTGGTGTCAGCACATGCTTGGGAATGAGAGGCCTGGGAAAGCTGGGGATAGTGTATACTGGTGACGAGCAGTTGGGCCTCCCTGCTGTGGACACCGTGTGGGAGTACACTGCCTTCCTCAGAAGAGTCCCGTTCTAATGAACAGATGAGTGTGCGCACAGTGCCAGGGGGTGCATTACCAGGACTCCTCTAGGTCTTCACCTGGAGTATGGGCAAAAGCCACCGTGGCTCCCAGTTGAGTGTGTGGGCTGTGGAGCCAAAGACACCATCACCTCTTGCATCTTCTAGCTCTCTAGAAGTCGGATTGGAAGATTCTTCCAAGCAGCAGGAACAGGGGCTTTGGGTGGAGGAAAGGAAAAAGTGGGCTTTTAGGTAAAACTGTCTTTCCTGAAGTGCAGGTTCATCTGTTGTCCTCCCTACAGATAGTGTTTAGTATGGGCCCCACACTTTTAGTCCATGCAGCGGGTGCCCCACATCCAGGACAGAGAGGGAGCAAGCGCCAGGCCCAGAAAAATTTGTGTTGAAGTAGCCCTAGCGACCGCTCTGCTCCCATAGTTCTGTGGGGCTGTTGTGGGACCTGGCGTAACATCATCCGTCCTTTCTTGGTGAAGGACCCTGTGAATCCATCAGTGCCCAGCTCTTGGCCTTCTGGTCAGGGGCACTGTCAGCCCAGCAGTACTTTTGCCATTCCTCTACTCTGTTGAGGACCTTTTCCTCACCAAGGCCCTAGTCAGAATTTGGGGATGTGGTGTGTCACGGGAGCTGAGATGGTCTGTGTGGCACAAGAAAATCTGCACAGTGCCTACTAGCACTACCTCTGGCCTGCTTTGATTTATTGCCCTTGACCTTAGGGTCCAGGGGTGATAGTGAAGCCTTTTCATTCTGGCTCTTTCTCACTCAGCATTACCCTGAACGCCATGGAGGACCAGAGCGCCACGGTCGGGACTCCCGAGACGGGTGGGGTGGATACGGCTCTGACAAGAGAATGAGTGAGGGCCGGGGGCTGCCGCCGCCACCCAGGTTTGTCCGAACCCCAGTATCTGTGGACCTCACACCTAGTCAACTGACAGGATCCATTGTGCTGGAGAGGGCCCCGGGAAACAGATGAGCACCAACCCCATGGCCCTCACTGTCTCACGGGGTGGGGGCTGGGGCCATGCACTGTTGAGTCCACCTAGCGGCCACCCACTGCCCTTGTTCTGAACGGCAAAGCTGGGGCGGTCCAAATCAGAAAGCATGTTTTTCCAAGGGGCAGACGTGACTGGGGGGACCATAGCCGGAGAATAGAGGATGACCGTGCGTGGCAGGGCGCTGCTGACGGAGGCATGATAGACCGGGACCACAAGCGGTGGCAAGGTGAGGACTTGTCTTGGATAAGCGCCTGCTCTCTGCCCCCGCACTGACCCCAGCCTCTCTAGGCTCACTCTTCTGTCCCCGCACAGCTCTTTGCTGGGCGGGTGTGAGACTGCTTAAGCATCTGCCAGAGACCTGTAGGTTCTGGGTTGGCCTGGTGACTCGGGGCAGCGTGGCTTGGCGCAAGAGGCGTTTTTGAAAAAGTGTCTCTTGTCCTCTAGGTGGCGAAAGAAGTATGTCTGGTCACTCAGGACCGGGTCACATGATGAACCGGGGCGGGATGTCTGGGTAAGGCATGTGTCAGTGGTGCCTCACTTCTTTGTGTTTTGTGTTGCCTTTGCATGTTGACCTTGGGGAAGATGTAGAAACCACCCAGTCTCCCAGCTGTCACTGCTTCCCCTCCCTGGGGCCTAGGGGGGAGGCGCCCCCTGGCACGGTCTGCCCGCCCCCCTGCAGGCTGCCTTGTGGAGTGGGCCAGGGGTGGGGCTCCGGCAACAAGACTTTGCCTCTGCTCTCAGGCGCGGCAGCTTCGCCCCTGGCGGCGCCTCCCGGGGCCATGTGATCCCGCGGGGTAGGATGCAAGGCGGCTTTGGAGGTCAGAACCGGGGGAGCAGACCCAACGATGCCCGCTTCACTCGCCGCTACTAAGTGCTCGGGATTCTGTGTATGTCACGTGGCAACAAAACTCTGTTCTGTTAGGAATTATCTTAAACTGTGTAAAATAATTTTTTTTTATCTGCTGCCATATTGTAGCTCAATACAATGTGAATTGTTTTGTTTTTTTTTTTGGTTTTTTGTAATAAATGTGTTTCTGTTCACATACCCTTTCAAGTGTCCTCTTTACTTGTATCTCAAGTAAAATGAAATCATACTTCGTACTGCTTAGCCCAGCTCCTCCCTCGGGGCCAGGAGGAGGGCAGAGTGCAGCTTTTAAGGGACTGTTGGGATTTCCAAAGGTATGTTGTGGGGGTGACACTTAGAGAACATGAAGTTGGCATTTTCAAGCACCCAGCTCAGTGGCATTGAGTACATGCCTGTTGTGGCGCTGCCATCCCGCTCCAGAACCTAATCATCTTCCCACACTGAAACTGTTCCCTACCCCAAGCCCACCCTCCTTCCCGTCTCTCTGAATGGAACTTCTCGGGATCTCCTAAGTGGACTGCACCCTAGAGGCTAAGCCAGGATGCAGACTGCAGTGTGTGCCCAGGAGGACCCCAGGGCTGCTTGCAAGGACGGGAGGGGCGGGTTCCTCCTCTGCGGGAGGGTTCAAGGCAGCTGTGTTCGGGGACAAGGTGCTGCCTTGCCCACCATGTGGCTCTTCTTCCAGATACCAACAGCCGAGATAACCCCAAGGTCTCAGCCAGCTGACCCTGGGGCCTCAGACCCAGAAGACTGGCGTGGGAGTTAAAGGCACCCTGCTTCCGGCTCTGCTTCCTTAGCCTACCAGGGGCAAGTTCCTTCAGTTCTTGGCCACCACATGCTCACCAGCCTGATGGGGCTAGTAGGCTGTGTCTGAGCTTGCACAGGTGAGGAATGCTGTCGTGAGACTATGTCCCCTCCTTACTCCCCGCCTCTGTTCACAAAGATGTGCAGTCTCTGCAGCTACTCCAGGTTCTAGTTCATCAGGACCTCATTTCTGGGTCCAAGTAAGTTGGGGGAAACATGTCTCGACTGCTTGGGTGTGTTACTTTGCTCTTAGACGTCATGAAAGCTGCCCTGGCCCTCAGATACATAGGGAGGAGCCCGGATACCACTCGCCCACATGGCTTGGGGTGGGCAGACCCAGGGCAGGGGAGCAGAGTGTGGGCCCTGGGCCCAGCACATCCCTGCCAGTATCTGGGGCTCCTCAGAGCACACAGGGTGACCTCCAGTTCTGCTGAATTCACCATTCCTTCTCACCACCCCTTAGGCTGCACTGGCACCACCCCTTGCCCCAGTCCAACAAAGCGTAGCTTTCCACAGCCAGAACAGCCTTCCAAGGACAGGGGTGCCGGCTGTCCGAGGAACAGCGTGCTGCACGGGGGAGGTAGGCCTCAATGCAGGACTCCTCAGGGCCTTTAAAGCACCAGGACAAGGTAGCATGCACAGGAGACTGTGGTGCCCAAGGTCTTCATTGACACAAGAGTAGTCAGAGGGAGGCCTGCATCTTGGCTTTGTGGAAACGGATGGTCACCTCCCCTCTCCGGGATCCATCTTTGATACGTCCAAACGGGGTTAGACCTTGGCAGCAAGGGCCCTGTATTCCCAGTGCCCACAGCCAGGGGAAGACACTTAACTAGGCCTTTACACTTGGTGGTCATCCAAATAAACAGCTCTCCACAGGGTCAGAGATGTCCTCATCCTAGTTCCTGGAACCTGTGTATGTGGCACCTCACATAGCAAAAAGAACTTTGCAGAGGGGATTTAGGACCTTTAAATGTAAGATGATGTCTGGAAGACCACTGAGGCCGTCCAAGCTGACTTTGAAGATGAAGGGCCCCCAGGCCAAGGAATCCAACAGCCTCTAGAAGCTGGAAAAGGCAGGAAATGGGTTTTCTCCCCATCCCCCACCCCGGAGCCTCTAGAAAGACCCAGCCCTGCTGACACCTTGTGCTCCACCCAGAGAGCCCCAGCGTACACACAGGAGGTTAAGAGCTGATGGGGGATTAACTCCATGGCCAAGTTCATTCAGCTGCAGGATGAGACTGTCTGGATGGAGATGAAGGGGGCCAGGAGGGCAGAGCCTGTGCCCTAGGACAGCTCCTCACCACCCACAGAGACTGGCTTTCCTTTCTGTGTGCTTGCTGGGCCAAGGGTCTCCCATGGGTGGGGGGGGGATACGCACAATTCAAAGTGTCTATGGAGCACCAGAGCCTATGGTCTGCTCTCATCTCTTTCCAGGTGGACGTCCCCAGTGGGGCCTAAACAGCAAAGGGGTGAACCATGGTCTGTGGTCCAGGTCCCTTCAATTCTGGGTGCCAACTGGGTTCACCTATGCCCCCCAGGACCAGCACATGGGAGAAGACGTTTCCAAAGTCCTTTATTGGGCCAGCAGGGCCGGGAGCTGCCCTTGGAGTAGGGTCCCAGTCTGGAGTCTTCTGGTTCATTGCATACCTGCCATTCCCCAACGGAGGCAGGCAGCCACCTCTAACATTCAGGTTACTTGACTCGCTCCTTCAGGTACTGCCAGCCCTCCTTGGTGTATGCGCAGACCTTGGCAGGGGCCACCGACAGGGCAGACATCACTGTAATGATGCCTGTGGGCAGAGAGGACCCAGTACCCATTGAGGCTTCAGCCAAGGGAGTTAGTCCACCCCCTGGGGAAGCCTTAGCTCTGCAAGGCTCAAAGACACCCCTCCAGCTCAGTCAATTCTCCAAAGGAAATGGAGGCAGAGGAGGGGCAGGGTCTTGTCTGAGGTCATATGCTGAGCTCTGACGTGGGCCAATACCCTCAAGAGAGGCGCCATCTTGCTCCCACCTCCCTGAAATCTGCCCCTTTTCTTTCGGGTATGTGGAGGGGGGCACACACGGCGGGAAGGGGGAGCAATGGAAAGGCACAGCCTGGGAAAGGAGGGGGAAGAGGGGATGCTGGACAAGGGTACTGAGGACCACCCTCAAGCAGAGGGACCCTGGGCTTACCTGAATTCCAGTTATCTCGGAAGTGAAAGTTAAGCTCTGGAAGCTCTGGAAGGGCTGGGAGCTGAGAAAAGAGGGAAAAAAAGGGGACTGGTGAAGGGAAAAGGACCCAACGCCCAGCCCCCGCCAGAGGCAGGACTGCAGGACACCGGGGAAGGCTCATCCCCCTACCAAGCCTTAGTGTCATTCCCACTCCGAGGTACCTGGGGTATCTTCAGCCCCGTCTGCTCACACACATACTGGCTGAACTGGTACACAGCTGGGGGGACCACCTCCTCAGCCTTCTGGAGGGCGGCCTGGCTTTTATCACCGGTACCCAGCAGCTGCTGGTCATACACCAGGTAGACTGCGCCCCCAGCCACGCTGCCTTTGATGAGGAACCTGCAGCCAGAGAAGGAAACAGCCTAACAGACACTGCCCGCCACCTTGGGGGTCTAGGCTCACCGAGGGAGCAGTCAGACCAGGTGGGTAAGGAACACCGTTCAAAAAGTGACACATCTGAAGCCAGAAAGGTGATAAGGTAAGCACCCTGGGAGCCCACAGATACACCTGACCCCCAAGATACACAGGGTGCACAGCAGGGCTACTCAGCCCATTTAACCGGTGGCCGGGAGAGACAGCGACAGCGGATCACTCGTCGTCCTGCAGGCAGCAGGGGCGAGGGCGGACTGAAGCCTCCTGACCCAATGTCTTGCTCCGCGAGGGAAGCTTCGCGAACAATCCCCGGGGCTTCTGCAAGTGTCCCGGGGTGCTTTCTGTACTTCACACGCGGCTCTGGCCGCGCATGAACCTCCCAACAGACGGGTGCGGCGCTCCCGCTTTACGGAGGAGGCAACTGAGGCTCGGAGGTCTCGGGCACAGAATCGGGAAGCACGAGCTCGCTGGGAAGCGGACAGGAGCCCGGAGTCTGCAGCTGGGCCAAGCGGGGCTGGCACCGAGGGCCCCGAGAGCAGGCCGGGAGGCGCCGGAGGGGTGTGCCCACAGGCGAGGGCTTTCTCGGGGACTCCGGGCCCGCCGGGCGGCCCCACGCACCTCATCAGCGACCACACTCGGGACATCGTCTTCGCTCGGCGACGCGCGCAAGGACACTCGAGTCGTCCGTCGCTTCCGCTCCAGCGCCGCAGAGACCTCTGGGAAGTGTAGTCTCTCCTGTCAGCGGCAAAGGCCTCCGGGAGTCAGCGTCTCCTTAAAGCTTCGAGACGCCTAAGACAGACTGTGGTCCCACCGCGAAAGGACTCCGGGAAGTGTAATTTTCACGGTCCCGCCGCTGCAAAGTTGTCTGGGAAATGTAGTCGGCACAGCCCGGTGAGGGACCGGAAGTTTCGTTCTGCCGCCAAGACTTCTGGGAAATGTAGTTCGGCGCGGCACCGCCCGGGTAGCATGAGAAAGGGAATCGGGGGTCTGGAGTGAGGCTGAAGAGACCCAAAAAGATGTTGGAGCCGGAGGCATCTATCGGCGCCCGCGGAGGGACTAAGAGCTCGGACTGAGGAAGAAGGTACCTAGAAATCTGTTGTCACGGCAACGCGAAGGTGGTGTGGGGGCGGGAGGGAGGCCGACACCCGCCCACCGCCGACCCTTGCTGGCGCCATCAGGCTTGGCGTTCCGGGCCTTCATCGAGGGGGCGGGGCCAGCCACACGGAAGACCGTTGCCTGGCAACCTTCGGACGCCCCTGCTGGGCGGTCTGGCGCCTCCCCTTGAGGAGGCTGGGCTCGGAGCAACGGGACTCCGACCCTCCGGGTTCCGAGGCGGCCGCGGGGCACACCGTAGGGGTCCACGACTAGCTCGCGCTCTGGGGTCCCTGCCCCGCCGGACGGGCGGCGGGAGAAACTGGGTCGTGTGGGTAAGTGCGCGCTTGGGGGCGCGCAGCGGGCGGGTTGCAAGCCCTCTTTGTTCAGACGGGAAACCGTCAGGGGTCCAGTGAGTTCTGCGAGAATTTGGTTAGCCCTGTTCCTCCCCCGTCGCTGCACAGTTGCTCCATTCCTCCACCCACCCACCCACACACACACACACACACACACCACACACACACAAACACATCCACTGAGATAGCAAGCCAGCCAACCCTGCGGAGCTGCTGTGGTCATTGCGTAGGGGGGGAGATGGCTGAGCCCTGGGCTTCATGGGCTTTCCCTGGAAGTAGGGAGAGGTATTAGTGGATACCCTGCCCGGAGCATGTGTGCAGTGTCCACTTTTCTGACAGCCGATTCGTGGAAGATGAAGATGGACAGGTAGGCAGGGCTTTGTGGGCTAGGTGAGGAGGTTGGTCTCCATCTGGGAGCAGTGATGAGCCCTGGAAGGGTTTGTAGCAGGAAAGGCTGGGTAAGTTTGTTTTGTGTTTTGTTTTTATAAAGTTTCATTTGGCTGCATGGAGTCGTGGGATGGAGAAAGCACTGTTGAGTCAGGAGAAGTCAGAGAGGAGACAACTGGAACTTGCAGGACCGAAGGCTGGATCTAGAGATTGGTATCTGGGGACTCCCCAACCCCACCTCTTCCAAGGCTCCTGGGTCTTGGAAGTACCTCTTTCCTCTTTGTCTCGCTGAGTGCAGAGGATGGAAATCCCAAGATGTGATGGGCCTGTGCCCTTTTTGGGAGAGAACCTTGACCCCTGAGCCTTAAGAATCCAACTTCTTTCTTTCTTTCACCTTCTCCATGAAACAAATAAATCTGCTTCTACAGCTGAAATTACATCTTAACCCAAAGCACCAATTCTCTTTCCAACCCACCCCCAAGTGTCTAACTCCTCCCGGGTATCTGCTGACAGAGTCTGTTTTCTGGGTTCCCCTAGCTCTTGACTCCCTCATTCTCATTTCACTCTGTGTGAATCTAGTATCTACTGAGTACTTACTGTGTGCCTAGCACAATTTTGGGCCCTGAAGACCCAAGGGTGGACAAAATAGAGGCACATTTCCTTTTCCTTCCTGCCCTCCTAGAGCTGCCAGAGACAGTGAGCATGTAACAGATCATCAACGAGATTCCTGGTGGCGACCAGTGCTGAGAAGGAGATGAAAGCTTGAGAGATAAAAGGGAGAGAGACCAGGAAGGGAAGTGCTCCCAGGAAGGGAGAGACCAGAAAAGAAGGCCCTTGGAGAAGGTAATGTTTGCACTGAGATCTGAGAAAGATGAGAGAGTAAGCCACTGGGTTTTATTTGTGAAGTGCATTTGGGCAGAAGGACTAGTCAATGCAAAGGCCCTGAGCCAGTATCATGACAGGGTACTTCTGACTCAAAGCCAGGAAAAGGCCAGTGTAGCAAAGCAGAATGAACCAGAGGGGCTGGTCCTTGCAGGGCCTTTTCGGCCATTAGAGTCTGGCTTTTGTTCCTAAAACAAAACAAGATAAAACAAATGGGGAGGATTTTCAGCAGGGGAGACCAAGATGTGGTTCACTTGCTGCTGCTACTGCTCCATGAAGAAACCCCTGAAGGTGGCAGGAAATTGGTGCCTTGGTTCAAGTGAACTATGTGATGACTTAGACCTGAGGGTGGCAGCGGAGGTGGACAAGAGGTGTGAGGGCCGAGCCAGTGCATTATCCCATGCTTCCTGAACAGAGGTGTAGTTGCAGGTGTGGCTCTGGGCCAGGCCTGTGCCAGCCAACTTCTCTCTCTCTGCAGACCAGGGAGGGCCATGAAGGTACTGCTCCTCACAGGGCTGGGAGCCCTATTTTTCGCATATTACTGGGATGACAAGTTCGACCCAGGTTAGTGCCTGGCAGAGTGTAGCAGTGGGGGGTGGAGGAACTGGGGCCCGCTGTCTTATCTGTCTCCCAAGCTGACCACTCCTGCTCACTGCCAGCCAGCCTCCAGGGAGCGCGTGTGCTGCTGACAGGAGCCAGTGCAGGTGTGGGAGAGGAGCTGGCATATCATTACGCACGCCTGGGTTCCCACCTCGTCCTCACGGCCCAAAGAGAGGCTCTCCTACAGAAGGTGAGCCGCCCCAGGTTAATGGTGGGGGCAGGAATAGAAAGGAAAAGGGCGCCTGGGTTTTGAATACTGCAAGGATTCAGGCTTCCTGTGTGATCTTGAGCTAATTACTTAACCTGTCTGAGTGTTAGTCTCCTTGCTTGCAAAACAGAGACAGTGAAAGTATTTATGAGTTTGGGTGCTGGGTTGGTGCAGTAAAGACAGTAGAGCAATTACGGTCAAGCAGGCGGCGTTCCTCAGAAAATGGGAATACTGCCATGCTTGCCTGTAGGACACTTCTCAGCAACACCCCAGTCTTGCGCCAAGGAAATGTACTGGCCAGAAATATTGAGATTTATTTGAAACCTACATTTTAAATGTTGGTCACTGAGCAAATAAGCCGTCGCTTATTCTGGCCCGTGGGCTGCCAGTTTGCAGCCCCGGTGGTAAAGTTTTGCGAATGATGTCGACTGGGAACTGGGAGCTCACGAGTAGGGGAGGGGGCTTTCGGCTGGGGCTCCCGTGGGGCTGGTAGGTGGAGGGGGGCCAGTGGGGGTGGAGGGGCCCACGGGCAGCTCTGGCCCCCCCAGGTGGTAGGGAACTGCCGGAAGCTGGGCGCTCCCAAGGTCTTCTACATCGCTGCGGACATGGCCTCCCCCGAGGTGCCCGAGCACGTGGTGCAGTTTGCGCTGGACAAACTGGGTGAGGGGCGGGGCTCAGAGTCCGGGACCTCGGTCTAGGCCTATGTCTTGGCTTAGGGCCAGAGCAGGAATCGGGGTGGCGGTGAGGTCATGACAAATAGCTGAGGGCGGAGATTGCCGGGGTCCGGGACGAGGCTAGGGATGGAGCTTGTCGCATCCAGGGTGGAACGCCAGAGCAGAGCTCACTGGGTCAGGGAGGCACAAAGCCTGGCAAGACCCAAAGAGTGGGGCCGGGCGTTTTGCACCTCTGCCGCGCGCCAGCTCGGGCGGCGCTTTTTGGGTCGGTCTCCTGTCCGGGCTCCCCCAGTTCGAGGGCGTGGGTCGGAGGCGGAGCCGCATCCGGACCTGGGGGCGGAGCCTCAAGCACCAGCTCCGGGCTGACTGGATTCTCCGGGCCAGGAGGGCTGGATTACCTGGTGCTGAACCACCTCGGCGCCGCGCCGGCGGGCCCGCGGACCCGCAACGCCCAGGCAACGCGCTGGTTAATGCAGGTGCCCCCCTCCCCCGCCGCGGCCGTGGCCCCCCCTGCGCGAGCAGCCCGTTCCCCAGGCCCCGCCCCGGCCCCGCCTCCTCCGGGTCTGGGCTATGATTCCTGGACGGGCTGGCCCTGCGCCCCCGTCCCCGACTCCGCCGGAACCCTCGGGCCCCGCCCCCGAGGCCCCGCCCCCGAGGCCCCGCCCCGCGCTGTAGACTCCGCCCCCTTCGTCTTTGGTTGACTCGCGGTCGCCCCCTCCAGGTGAACTTCCTGAGTTACGTGCAACTGACTTCATTGGCCCTGCCCAGCCTGACAGACAGCAAGGGCTCCCTGGTGGTGGTGTCCTCGCTCCTAGGTGCGTGCACGCAGGGGAGTCGGGAGGCCACTAGCTCGTTGACAGCAAATATGGAGGGGACAGAAGACTTTCGGGAGGGGGAGCAGCAACGTCTCATTGCTCAGCTGTCGCCCTCTGTACACAGGCCGGGTGCCCACGTCCTTCTCCAGCCCCTACTCCGCGGCCAAGTTCGCGCTGGACGGCTTCTTCAGCTCCCTGAGGCGGGAACTGGACGTGCAGGACGTGAATGTGGCCATCACCATGTGCGTCCTGGGCCTCCAGGATCATGCTTCAGCCACTGAGCGATTCCGGTGAGGCCCAGGACCGGAGCGGGCTGGGTGGTGGTGGTGGTGGAGCTGTAGGAAGCCACCCAGCTGCAGCCTCCACCTAACCCTCCCATCCCCAGGGGCATCACGAGGGCCAAGGCAGCTCCGGGGCCCAAGGCAGCCCTGGCTGTGATCCGGGGCAGCGCCACACGTGCCTCCAGAGTCTTCTACCCATGGCGTTTTCACCTGCTCTGCCTTCTCCGAAGCTGGTTGCCTCAACCACGGGCCTGGTTCATCCGCCAGGAGCTCAACAGCACGGCCACCGCTGCTGCCTAAGTCTCAGGGGTGGTACCCTTCATCTTCCCAGAAGAGAACCCTCCATCCAGCCGGCCCAGAGCACCCTCTCAGAGGGTGACCATGGCCCAAGATGGAGTCATCAATACAGAAAAGGAAGATGAGAAGACCTCCCAGCACCTGGAGACAATCAGCGCCCAGGGTGTGCAACCACCTGTTTGGGGACTTGGGAAGGCATTACCTCATCCTGCCCATCACTGATGTATAATTGCTGCTTCCATTTTGCAGATGAGAAAACTGATTCTCACAGAGGTAATATGACTTGTCCCAGGGCTCTCGCCACATCCAACAGGTCACACTACCCTGAGCCACCCTTGGAGCCCTCTCTGTCTCCCACCTGGAACCACCGGGTCCTTTATTAGTTCTCATTTGTTTTCAAAGCTGTCCACCTGATGGGGGGAGGGGATCTGAGGAGGAGAAGGCAAAGAATGTGTTTTGGGCTGGACTTAACCTTTCCTTTCATAATAAAAATCTTTTCTCCTGCATGTCTCTTTTTTTTTTTTTTTTTGCGAATATTTATTTATTTAATTATTTATACAAGCACTGGGTACAGTCAGAAGCACGGGAGGGTGAGAGAATTCACCAGAGCCAGAGCAGGGAGCAGAGCAGGCAGAAGGACCGAAGTACACTGCTGAGGGGAGCAGAGGGCAGCAGGAGAGGTCTGCGCGCCATGTGGGACCCTCCTCCGGTGGCCTGGGAGCAACCGGGGATCGAACCAGCGCTGCAGAGGCTGCGGGCAGCTTCGCAACCCAGTGTTCAACTGCTGCGCCACTGGGGAGGCCCTCTCCTGCATGTCTCTTGTTCAAATTGCTCGGTCCTTCTAGTTTGCTGGCAGCTGGCAAGTGAAAAGGGATATGTGTACTGAACCAAAATTCCAAATCCCAGGTAGAGAATTGGAGGCAGGAAGGCAGATGGAAGGATTGTGAATTTTATTTGCAGCATAGAGTACACAGTTTATGCACCAGTAGTGATAAAGTGCATTAGTCATAAGCACTTGATGTACATGACCTCATGGCATCTTCACAAACAGAAGTTGGTGCTACCTTTGTTCACATTTCACAGATAAGGGAACTGACAGTGGTAGACCGTGGCAGAAGCTGGCATTCTTCTAATTCATGTTTCTCTTGGGTATGGACTATATTTGCATTAATTAATTGAAAATTAACATGTTCCCTAACCAGTGCTATTTGCATAAATAAAAATTTGATGTAAAGATAACTGTAGAACAAATATAATCTGGTGAAACGTTAGCTACTATTGGCTGTCCAAGGCTCTAAAATGAGCACGTGTTAGAAGGGATAACCTCAAACAGACCAGCCCCAAGTGGAGACAGTCTCTTGGAGATAAACAGGTTTGAAAGATGAAAACCAGAAAGTCTTTTTTTTCCTACCAGGCCACCCATCCCTACACAACCTAAAATTACACTAAAATATATCAAATGTTTCCAGGGGGCATTATACCACAGCACCTACCTTAGCCACAAGAGCTTGGCCTACATGTAGTGAAACCAATACATTAGTTCCCCTCTCACCTGCGGGGACAAGTTTCAAGACCCCCAGTAGATGTCTGAAACTGCAGATAGTACTGAACTCTATACATGCAGGTTTTTCCAAAGCATACATATCTATAATACAGTTCAATTGATGAGGTAGTTACAGTAAGAGATTAACAACAGTAATAATAAAATAGAACAATAGCAATTATAGCAATATTACTGTAACACGGGTTTTGTGAAGACAGTCTCTCCTTCCATTTATGGAAGTTTTATTTTGCGCAGGATACCATTATATCTTGTTCAGTTGGGATGGGGACTATTATTGTTCCTATCCTATAAATATTTACTTAGGTACTGGGAGGCAACTGGCGTAGAGGCAGCCAGTTAGCAACCAAGGTGGGATTTGTAGCCAGCAAGCAGCAGAGGTAGGATTCAAGTTGTCAACACCCAGGGAAGGGCAGAGCCACAGCCCTGCCCACCAAGGCTGATAGACGCGCAGGCACAGGAACCTTTCGCGCATGCTCAGGAGGCCGCAGGGACGCCTCCAGCCGCCAGAGGGCGCGCGTCATTCCTGCCTCTCTGGGCCTCACCTGCCGCGGAGGGTAGATATCCCAGAGTTCCGCGCGGCGCCGGCCTCTCCGCAGCGGCGGCCATTCCACAGCAGCAGGTTAGTGATCTCCGCGTGTGTAATATCTACTGCCATCCTTCTCCCGGGATGTTGCTGCGACTCGGAGGGATGGCTGGGGGCAGGGAGGGAGTCGGAGGGATGGCTGGGGGCAGGGAGGGGGCTCGGGGAAGCCGGGGCGCGGGGTTCTGAGCCGCGGGGACCGGGCGGAACTCATCGTCCCTTCTGCCCCTGTCCGCAGCCATGGCTCTGCGCTACCCCATGGCCGTGGGCCTCAACAAGGGCCACAAGGTGACAAAGAACGTGAGCAAGCCGAGACACAGCCGCCGGCGCGGCGTGAGTACCGGGGGTCTCCTGGAGAGGGGGGTGGGGGGGCGTTCCGGGCGGAAGGCACGGGCATGGGCTCCGTGCGCGGGAGCGCCGAGGGGAGCGCGGGCGGGGGTCCGGAGCCAGGGCGGGGGTCCCGGAGCGCGGGCGGGGGGTCCGGAGCCAGGGCGGGGGTCCCGGAGCCAGGGCGGGGGTCCCGGAGCGCGGGCGGGGGGTCCGGAGCCAGGGCGGGGGGTCCGGAGCCAGGGCGGGGGTCCCGGAGCGCGGGCGGGGGTCCCGGAGCGCGGGCGGGGGTCCCGGAGCGCGGGCGGGGGGTCCGGAGCCAGGGCGGGGGGTCCGGAGCCAGGCCGGGGGGTCCCGGAGCCAGGCCGGGGGGTCCCGGAGCGCGGGCGGGGCGTGGCAGACTGGGGAGCACGGCCAGTGAGACGCCCACCGCTCGCCCCGGCGACCGGCACTTCTGGGCCCTCGCCGCCGGCGGGGTCGCGGCTGGACAGGAGCAGCGCGGGCGGGAGAGGGCGCGGGCGTGTGACCGGGTGTTGGGTCAGTGGGCCGGGGGAGCTGGGTCGGGGTTGGAGTGTGGAGGAGAAAGGTTGAGGACTTAGACGTTCGTTGGGGTTTGTGGGCGCCTTCATTAAGCATCCCTGACTTGGGGCCTCCCTGGTGGCCTAGGGGTTAGTCTCAGCGCTGTCACAGCTACGACCTGAGTTCGATCCCCGGGCAGGGAGCTACCCACAGGGCGCAGCAGACCTCTCCTGTCTCACCCGCTGCTCCCCTCAGCAGCGTATTTCAGTGGATCGGCCTGTTCTGCCCCCACTCTGACTTGTGAATCCTCTCACCCCCCCAAACCTCTGGCCTGTACCCCAGTTCTTGTATGCATAAATAATTTTTTTAAAGTCCCTACGGGGCCTCCCTGGAGGTGCAGGGGTTAGTCTTAGCATTATCAAGCTATCTCCAGTCTCTGCAGCACGAGTTCGATCCCTGGCCAGGGAGCAACCCACATGGTGCAGCAGACCTCTCCTGTCTCACCCACTGCTCCCCTCAGTGTGTTTCAGTCAGTCTGCCTGTTCTGCTCCCCACTCTGTCTCTGGTGAATCCCCTCACCCCGCGTACCTCTCATCTACACCCTAGTTCTTATGCGCGGGAAAAAGAGCAGCTCTGACTTAATGGTGTCCTGGCTCTTGCTCAGTGGGAGGTGAGGATTCTGGGCAGAGGGCCGGGCATGACAGGCCATGTTGATAAGAGTGGGACTCTGCATGGGGAAGAGTCCTGTTTTTGTTGTACCAGAGACAACTTCATGACCCAGGGGTGTCTCCGCATCAGAGCATCTCACTCAGAACCCCTCCCTTTGCCTGCACAGCGCCTCACCAAGCACACCAAGTTCGTGCGGGACATGATCCGGGAGGTGTGTGGCTTTGCCCCCTATGAGCGGCGCGCCATGGAGTTGCTCAAGGTCTCCAAAGACAAGCGGGCCCTCAAGTTCATCAAGAAAAGGGTAGGTGGCAGAACTTGAAAACAAAAAGCCTTAAATTATGAGAGCAATAGTGGAGACCAGGTGATGTGGGAGGAGGGCAAATTAGGTGTATGGCGGAGAGCGGAAACTACAGTTTTGTGTTGCTGTGAACGGATGTAAAACTATAAGGCTGAACGCCTGAAATGTATGTAACATCACACCAGGGTTTTGACGGATGGCAGGACACTCAGGCAGTCTGGTAGGGGCAGGGTAGGAGTTGAAGTCCTCAGCCTGACACCCTCCTTACTTGGCAGGTGGGGACACACATCCGCGCCAAGAGGAAGAGAGAGGAGTTGAGCAATGTCCTGGCTGCCATGAGGAAGGCAGCTGCCAAGAAAGACTAACAACCCTCCCACCTCCCAATATGCACAAATAAAATCTTTGCAGAAACTTGGGGTCCTCTGCTGCATTGGGAGGTTGGCCTGTCCAACCCCCAGGCTCACCCTTCTTGTGGTTGTAGGCACAGAAGCAAATGGACAAGCAGTACTGGAAATGGTTTTAATCATAATTATATATAGTCATATGCTCCGTACTCGGTAATCAATCCATAATTGAAGTCCTTGGGTTCTAGGCCACTGGGGGGTTTCCTGATGGCTCAGCTCCCAGAGTCCCTACCCTGCTATAGTCTCAGCCCAGGCTGGTCCCGCTGGCTGCCATCACCGCTCCACAACCAGGGCCTCTGCCCGCTCTTGGGAGAAGGCTATGTCGAAGACCTCCCTGTAGTGCTCCACAAAATGCACCTCCAAGCCATCCGTGATGAAGGCAGCAAGGTCATAGAAGTCCTTCTTGTTCTCAGCTGGCAGGATGACACAAGTCACTCCAGCACGCTTGGCCTGGGCGGGGGACAATAACAGCAAGTCAGCAAGAGGCAGGCTTCTGTCTCAGAAGCCAGAGATAACCTCGCTGCTGCTGGGTAGGTGGACTGTTCTAGATGGAGCCCACCCTTTCCTTGTGTTTAGGTATTGTCGTTTTCTGAAATCACAGCTTTACATTTAGAGGTTTGGCCCCCCAAAGTGCATTGCAATTGAAGATGGATACTGAGTACATTTGAAAAACCTAACACTAACATCCCCACCATCCAGCCCCAGGAAGGTGAGGCAGCTTTATAGGAAAATTGTTGGGGGTGTGGTCAGGTTTAGGGTGTGCTGAGATGAGATGAGTTGGGGGAGGGAGGAGGTAACAGGGCTCTACCAAGAGCTAGACATAGGTGGGAACCCTGACAACTGAGGGGCAGGCACAGCTCTGCAAGCTCTGGAGTGCCCTGTAAGAGGCAGGACCGAATGGCCCTCAGCTCCACCAGTCCCCTCCAGTCTGTTCTGCTCCTGCTAGACTCAAAGGTAAAGGAAGCCCCACCCTTAAAGAAGGAGATGGCACCATCAGGGATAAGCCTAGAATGTTCTCCAAGGATTCAAAGGGACCTGTGGGGGGTGCAGGTAGGACAGGCAGCCTGGGTTCAAATTCCATACCCACTGGCTTCATTTCCCCCCATCTATGAAACTGGCCTGTCACCTGATGGTGCAAT